GCCCCCGCCCCTTTCCTTCAGTGCCACGGTAATGGATTTACATTGGACTTAGCACTGTGTTTAATCATACCAGCCTCGAGGTCTCAACCTGCCTAAGCCCCCCATCCCACCCCAAGTGGAGGAAGAGTATTACACCATTGCCGAATTCCAGACAACCATCCCAGATGGCATCAGCTTCCAGGCAGGCCTGAAGGTCGAGGTGAGTGGATCTGGTGTCCTTTTGCTTTTTTAAAAGTTTATTGTGGTAACATTGGTTAATAGCATTATATAAAGTTTTTGGCTTAACCAAGTATTTTTTTCTTACGATAAATTCTGTATCCTCTATGTTCCTCTCCTCCAGTTTTACTTCCTGGCTCATTTCAATATCGCATTTGCCTACAGAATTCATAAATGGAACCCTAGTGTTCTAGCAGTGGAGCTATTAGGTGCACCTAATTCCTTGCCTAGTCTGTGTATCTTCATAACACCTTTAATGATGATGTAGCACCTCTCTGTGCCAGGTACCTTACATACCTAGTAACTAATCTTCACAGAAGTCCCAAGAGGTCAATATCTTCAGCCCATTTTACAGATGTACCTGAGACAAAGAGGGGTTAGGTAGGTTGCTCAAGGTTACATAGCGAATAAGTAGTGGGGCTGGCATCTGAACCCAGGTCCCTTTGGTGTTAAAGACCAGGCCCTTTCCTTTCCTCCGCATTCTTTAGATTTGGCATTTGCTTTTATTCATGAAAGCTCTTAGCTTCTCTCTAGCAGATGAGAACTGCCGTAAGTCTTATTAAGAGCACAGCAAATCCTCATTGATCTATTTCATTTTGATTGTTGTTCATACTTAGTATTTGTTGTCGAATTTACGGATGTGCCCGCAATGTCTTGTATGAGCAGAATCACCTTTAATTGTTACCATAGCTACCAAGTGTTGGTAAGATGCTGGCACCCTCAGGTGAAGGGCTTACATTTATCAGCGCCCTTTTCTGGAGAGAGTCCAGTGGGACTTTCTATGCCTGTCACGTGCATCCTGCTGTCCTGGAAATCTTCGCTGTAATTCCATATAGGTAACATTTCTCTTCCAGCATCAGCCAAGTGCTCTTGTATGCATTAGCTTATGTGTCCATCATGAAAACCGGCAAGTGGGTGTCACTGTTTTTACCATTGTCTCTTTTTTGTGGTGTGGAATCTCAGCAGTGTTATTTGGACAGGACCATTCGGGCAGTAAGTGGGGAAGCCAGAACTAGAACCCAGGACTGCAGACCCCGGAATCCAGCCTCTACCTCCTGTGCCGAGTCTGTGGCTGCCATTCCTCTCTGTGCTGGGCGCAGAATGCAGCAGCAGAGTGATGCCCATAGCCCTCGTTGCCCCCAGCATTTTCTCACCCCAGGCACAGCTCTGCCCCAAGCAGGGTCCCCTTTCCAGGACAGGGTCAGAGAGTGGGAAAGGCTCAGGCTCTAGAGCCTACCAGCCTGCCTTTGACTTTCACCTCCACTGTTAACTCGCTTAACCCTCTGCGAGTCCTCAGCTCTCTTAAGATTTGTTTCTGCATCTGTAAAATGGGATCATAATCCCCATCTCATGGGGCCGTTGTGAGCATTAATCAGATCTATTAACAGAGCGTGCACAGAGAACTGCAGATATTCATTAGCTCGGGCTGCCATCACAAAATACCACGGACAGGGTAGTTTAAACAGGGATTTAATTTCTCACAGTTCTGGAAGCTGGAAGTCCAAGATCAAAGTGTCAGCAGGGTTGGTTTCTCCTGGGGTTTCTCCCTTAGCTTGCAGATGGCCATCTTCTCCCTGTGTTCTCACGTGGTTGTCCCTCATTCTGTATGTTCTCCGGTGTCCTGATCTCTTCTTATAAGGACATCAGTCATACAGGGTTAGGGCCTACCCTAACAACCCCGTTTAACTTATTTCTTAAAAGATTTGATCTCCAAATAGAGTCACATTCTAAGGTACAGGGGTGAGGGCTTTGACATATGAATGTTAGGCAGATACAGTTCAGCTCATAGCAGGCAGCATGCATATCTTTCACCCATGTGAATTTAGATATATATGGTACTGAATAAAAGCCAACAGGTAATATACGATCTTAAATATCGTGGGTGAGTCTATACACTGTTCCATTAAATGGGTGTGTATCCCAGAGAGAGAAGGAGATGAAGTGACAGTTTGTTTTACCTCCTTCAACATAAGTTCCCCTGTATTTAAACATGAGCTGAGTGTGGTTCCCACGTTTAAAGATATGCATTTCTCACGCAGCATGGCCTGTAAATGCCAGCCAGCCGCTTTATCTGGTGCTCAACCAAAGGAACAGCGACCAGGGCTGGTTTGGGCTGTATATGCATTTCACCTTATACTTTAGAATTGCAGCAGACACTGCTGGGGGCCCGCCCTGCATCCGACCCACCTGAGTTGACCTGCAGCTACATACAGGTCCCAGCAGCTTACAGCTTCCTCCCTCCTGTGTAGCCTGAGGGCACCACCCAGAAAGTGAGGAATTAATCCCTGGGGGCAGAACTGTGCGTCCAGGGGTAAATGTCCCCACCCCCAGTGGGGCAGTCTGATTCTGCATGCTCTCTCGGAGGGCCCCTGGCCCAGTAAGCCCCAGTGGCCCATAGCAATAACCTGCTTATAGTAGGCCCTCACACTCCCAGTTTCCTCACTTGTTACTTCCTGAAGCCATCTCTCAAATCTGTGCCCATGCCCATGTCAGGAACTGCTTCTGGGGAAATCCAGTTAGACTAGAACCCACCCCCATGTGAGATGTTCCTGCTACACGGTAGTCCCCGTAGATGGTCTACCATGGACGTTGTCTGGGAACCCACTGAGTGCAAACCCCGCTTCTGGAACTCAGGTGCGTGGGGGTCTCCTTACCGCCCTGGTCTTCCAGCTCTGGAACCACACCTACTGAGTGCTTTCCTCTCCTCTGCCCAGGTGATCGAGAAGAACCTGAGTGGCTGGTGGTACATTCAGATTGAAGACAAGGAAGGATGGGCCCCAGCAACCTTCATTGACAAGTATAAGAAGACCAGCAATGCCTCGAGACCCAACTTTCTGGCTCCCTTGCCCAACGAGGTGACCCAGCTCCGTCTGGGGGATGCAGCAGCGATGGAGAACTGCACGGGCAGCGAAGCTGGTGGCCCCTCCCGGCCCCTGCCCGATGCACCGCTCAGTGCCGTGGACTCTGGGATGCCATGGTCCAAAGACTGGAAGGGTGGTAAGGAGGTCCTGAGAAAGGCGTCTTCAGACATGTCGTGTGCAGGCTACGAGGAGATCTCGGACCCCGACCTGGAAGAGAAGCCCAGCCTCCCTCCCCGGAAAGAATCCATCATCAAGTCGGAAGGGGAGCTGCAGGAGCGGGAGCGGGAGCGGCAGAGGGTGGAGCAGCTCAGGGGCTCCCCGCCCAAGCCCCCTGGTATGATTTTGCCAATGATTCCAGCTAAACAAAACCCCCCATCCCGGGATGGCAGGAGGCCAGAGCCCAAACCTGACAAAAGCAAGTTGTTCCAGCTGAAAAATGAGATGGGGCTGGAGTGTGGCCATAAAGTATTGGCCAAGGAAGTGAAGAAGCCCAACCTGCGGCCCATCTCCAAATCCAAAGCCGACCCACCAGAGGAGAAGCCAGAAGCCATTCCCCAGAACCCCTTCTTGAAGTCCAAACCTCAGGTTAGGCCAAAGCCAGCTTCTTCCCCCAGGACAGAGCCACCTCAGGGCGAAGACCAAGTGGACATCTGCAACCTCAGGAGCAAGCTCAGGCCTGCCAAGTCCCAAGAGAAGCCCTTGTTGGATGGAGAGAGCAGCCACCAGGCTGCTGGGGGCCAAGACGCAGCCTTCAGCCGCAGCTTCCTCCCAGGGGAGGGGCCTGGTCGTGCCCAGGACAGGACGGGCAAGCAGGATGGGCTTGGCCCCAAGGAAATACCCTGCAGAGCCCCTCCGAGGCCAGCCAAGACCACAGATCCTGCGCCTAAGAGCGCACCCGTGCCTCTCAAAGAGGCTCCCCAAGAGGCTCCCCAGCAGAGACCCATGATCCCTCCCCGCAGACCCCCACCCCCCAAGAAAACCTCCTGTTCACCCAGGCCCCTCCAGGAGGCCAGAGGGCTGCAGCGGGAGGCCAGCGAAGGCCGGGCACCTCCTGCCCCAGGCCGGGCCCTGCTGGTCCCTCCAAAAGCCAAACCTTTTCTCTCCAACTCCTCAGGGGGCCAGGATGACCTTCGAGGCAAAGGTGGGCTGGGGCCACGGATGGTGGGCAAGATCGGAGAAAACAGAGAGAAAGCAGCAGCATCCCCCTTCCCCAGTGCCGACAGCCCAAAGGACCTGTATGTGGCCGTGGCCAACTTTGAAGGAGATGAAGATACTAGCAGCTTCCAGGAGGGGACGGTGTTCGAGGTCAGGGAAAAGAACAGCAGTGGCTGGTGGTTCTGCCAGGTCCTCAGCGGGGCGCCCTCCTGGGAAGGGTGGATTCCTTCCAACTATCTCAGAAAGAAGCCCTAGCCTCCTCCCTCCCTGGCTGGAGGTCCTGTGCGTCTCTGCTGGTTTTACCCACATATTTAATATGCCTCTTAATTTATCGTTCTCCACGGAGCTTCAAAGGAAGGAAGGCTCTGGAGAACTGGGTTCTTCCCTCCCGTGGGTAGAGCCAGCCCTGCCACCACAGCAGCCCCCCGAGGCTCAGGGGCCACATGCTCGCTTTCTCTCCCCTCTGTATCCCTGCCTTAAGGCCAGTGGCATTGCCACCCAGCTTCCCTGCCCACCTAGTAGCGGGACCACAACTCTCCAAGGCCTCCAGCACCAGAACCCACCATCTGGAAAATCTGCAGAAAGTATTTCTCATTGCTTGGACCCGGTGCAGTTCGGGGCAGTCCGCCGGCAGCTCGTCCAGTCTGACAGCTTGCGCCAACTTCTCCATGTCTCTAAAAGGCCGGTGACTTTGTTCACCCAGTTTCCAAAATGCCTGGTACCACAAAGAACTTCACTCTATACAAGTGGGCTCCATGGCCAGTCCCAGGGGGTGTCCTCCTCTCCGAGGCCTCAGGCCTCTGGGCCTCTCAGGTTTGACCAGATGCAGCGGCCCCACAAGTGGGTGTGGGGGTCCACTCGGCCACCTGCCTCCCATCTTCTGTCTTGGGAGCCTGATGGGTCCTAAAGGGCTGGGTCCAGCCCAGAGCAACCTCCACTGCCAGGCTCCGGACAATCCCCTCCCCGCCCTGGGGTATCTCACTTTGTCTGTCTAGAGCAAGCATCTCCACATTTGTTGGAAAAGGGGCCATTAGCAAGCCATGCTCCATTCTGAGCACCCTTTTCTGGGTAGCTAGTCAGTGCCAAACTCTACACGGCACTTTGCATTCACGTTTAACCTTCACGGCAACCCTCTCCTATAATAGTATTCCCATTTTATAGATGAGGAAGCTTGGGCTCCGTGTGCCCAAGGCACACTAGCTAGGAGGAGGGGGAAAGAGGATTTGAATCCAGGCTGGCCTGACTTCCATGCTTGTGCCCTTCTCCCTGGAAGGGGCAAACCAGGCAGGGGGAGAGAGAGGAGCTTGGGTGCCAGAGGCCCGTTCTTTGCTCCGTGCTGGTATCCCAGGAGGGATAGAGCTTATGCAGTAGAGGGAGCGGGGGGGCGGGGTCTCACATGCCAGCCTGGAGGGGCCCTGGTGGTTCACAGACCAGCAGCTGCTCCTCCATCAAGTTGAGCATGGCAAGCAGAGGCCCCCTCGGGTGACAGGAACCCAAGGGCCAGACAGATGCCTCCTGTCACTCTCTGTTGCTGCTTCCCGCTCTTCTCTGGCTTTCACGGTTTTCTTTTCCCCCTGCCCTTTCCCTCTCCATCTCACTGGGAGGAGCCCAGGGCAGCCTTACCCATTCTGATGGTGTGGTTCAACATAGGGTCCCAGCCACATACAGAACTAGAACCAGGACCCAGGGTTTCCAGCTCCCAGCCCAGAGATCCTGCCTGTGGACCAGGCTGCCTGGGGGTGAGAGGGCAGTGCCCTCCACGTGCCACCCTGCCCTGTAGGAGAGGACGTGGCTCTGATTCAGTTCATTGGCTACTATGCTTTGGGAACACAAAGCCTGCTCTCCTGGGGATGCCCGCTGTCTACCTGCAGTGCCAAAGGCCCCCTCCCCTCCCCGACCCCCCACATGGTCTCTGGGTGTCTCTGCAGGAGAAGGAGCTTCCTCAGACCCACAGAGCCATCCTGTTGCTCCGGTCAGCCTGTAAGGACCACCCCCGAGAATCTGGGGGCAGGGCCCTGAGGTGCTCCTCGCTGCACCTGCTCACCCCTTGGCCCTATGTCCAGAACCCTGCGGGGAAGAAGGGGGGCAGCTGGAAGAGGGCCACCCACCTCCTGCCCCATAACATGTTTTCCTGCGTGTTTGATCCACTTCAGTTTAAACCGTTTTTATGAAGCTGTGATGCAGGATTTGACTACATTTTAAAAGACAAAACTCTAAATTTTTGTTTTCTGATTCACTCTGTGCTTTCATTGGCCTTTGCATGTGTCGTGAGTGCCCGCGCGTGCTGCACGCCGGGCAGGCCGGGCTGCGCGGGTTCCCTGCCGGCTGTAGGAGCTTTGCTGTCTGTTTGCTGGTTCCGCCGAGGGGGTTGGCGGCTGACCTCAGCCTCTCCTGGGGATCAGCTGGGTGGGGACGGACTGGTTCTTTCTCTGGGCAGAACGTTTTCCTGCAAGTGAAAGAACTTGCCTTTTTATTATTATTATTATTATTATTATTATTATTATTATTATTATTCTGATGGAACTGAAGGTACTGAAGCCACACTCTTCTCTGTTCACTGCTCTTTCCTCAGGATACACTTGTGTCCTGAGGACCCCTCTCTCTGCTCTTTTTGTCACAGCGGTAGGCACTTCCCCAGGCTCCTGGAAGTGACAGGTCTAGCTGTCCTTGCCTGTGGACCTAGGTTCACACCATCCAGGTCTGTGGCCCCTATTCTGTGAGCAATTGATGGAGCGTATGCAAAACTCCCCTGGAGTTCCAGCCGTGCAAAGGGCCTGGGCCACAGGAATAGCCCCGATGCCAAGCTCCGGCAGGTCACCGAGCCGAAACACGCTCCCTCCTCTGGCGTGGTCCTCGCGATAACCCTGGGAGGTGCAGGGGATCAGCCCCAACCTGTCGTGAGAAAATTGATGTTCAGGGAATGAAGCCACATTCCTAGCTTCATCCAAATAGTGACAGTGACAGCTGAGGATCAAATCCAGGGGTTTTCTCCCCAATGCCCTTGACTTCCTCTGCCACCAGCAGTGAAATGTAGTTGGGCCTCCGGTGAAGCGGGGGACCCTCCCTCTTTGAGTTTCTCTGCTCCTCGCCCCACGATGACGCTTGTCAGCAGGTCACAGGTAAATGCCACTCTGACAGGCAGACAGAGGTGGGTTTTCTCCTTTCCTCACTCCTGCTTATTTCCTGGATTTTATCTTACATCTTGGGGTAAAACTGCAGCTTGTGGTGCCATCAGATCTTTGGAAAATCTGAGTTTTAGGACTACCACTTGATAAAATAAGCCTTTGCTCAAATATTTCACTCAGAATGTCTTTGCCCTGTGGTGGGATTGTGTCCCAGGTTGAGGCTTGGGGAGGGCTGGGCTCCAGCTGAAACCGCTTTTACTGCCCCGGCCTTCTGAGGAATTACGAGGGCCCGGATCAGGCTGCCAGTCTTTGTGAGCCTCTGCCACAATTTCTTAGGCTACGTCCTCGGCCTTAAAACATTTTGAGCCCACTGGGGATTTCATTCCCACGTGGAACAGAGGAAAACAGGCTTGCCACGTTAAAGGGCAGGTGCTGAATCTCCCCAGGGTGTGGAAGGACCTTGGGGATGGACAGAGTGTTTATTCAGCCTGTACCAGGTGCCAGTGCTGAGTGCTCCTGCCCTCAAATAGCTGGAACTGGACATCAAGAACGGGAGCATCCGTGGCTTGGCTCCCATCCTTCCATTGTGCTGAGTCTCTAAGTGTTGGGTCCACCTGCTCCTGGGAGGCCCTGCCCTTGTCTTTGGACTGTGATGGTGGGCACGTAACAGCCTTACCCATGCATGGAAGTCTTGTCCTTCC